CCCATTTGCACCCACAGGACCCTCAACAAAAACGAAAATCTTGGCAAAGATGCCATTGCACCGGAAGGAAACAGACCCAAGTTCAAGTGCAGGCTCTTCCACTTGCTGACTCCAGGACCTGAGTGAGTCCTGCTCCATTTCTGAGCCTCAGTTTTCCCACCTGCAAAGGCATGTGATGTGGGTGTGCAGCCCCAGGGGTTGCTGGGAAGATCCCAGGAAGCATGAAGCCTGGAGGCCTGTGCCAGCAGAGGGTAGGGTCCCAGCAGCTCACACCGGGGAGATGGCGGTGGTGTTACTTGGCAAGCGCAGCTCTCAGCAAGGGAAGCTGAGGCTTAGGGGAGATGCTCTTGCCCTTCAAGCAGAGAGGCTGCTGGGAGTGGAAAGTCCAATCATTCGTGCTTTGTGTGTCCCGGGGAAGATGTTCTAGGCCAAGGGTAACCTGTCCTCACGACCCCCTTGTCTCCTACCAGCAAGGATTAGCTCAGCAGTGTAGACAGACTGAAATATGTTCTCCTACCGAGATCCTCACTGGGTCGCTAATGCACCCACTGTGGGCCAGGTCCACCGGGGCTTCTCGTCACACGTGGGAGAGGAGGCAAAGCTGGGCCCCGCAGCTGGTAACACGGCATCACCTCTCTCTCTGCCCCAGCAACGCGCTCTGTGCCGCTTAGAAGCACTTCTGTGGCCTATCCCGCCTGGCCCTCAAAATCTGCCAGCTGAGGTAGGTTAAAAAGAACCTGTCCTTCTCCGATAGATGTTTCTGAAGGGCCTGCTATCTTTTAGGAATGGTGCCACCTGCTGGGGATACAGCATGAACAAGGCAAAAACCCCGTCTCTCAAGATGCTTGCATTCTGTTGGGGGAGAAGACCCCAAATAAGTAAATTAATAAGTAAACAGATATGAATGAAGCAAAATAAGGTAGAGATTAATCAGGAGGGGCTCCTTTAAGCAAGGGGTCACTACAGAGAGGGCTTCTCTGGATAATAAGAACCTGGTTATGGGCAGAATAGCAGTAAGAGTGTTCTGGGTAGACAGATAGTACATGCAAAGGTCCTGGGGTGAGCATGTGGAGGTGAGATTGAGGAAGCAGGAAGGAAGTGCTGGATGTGAAGACAAGGCAAGGGATTGGATTCTGAGTTTGGAGAACTCAGTGGATTTCAAGCAGGGAAGGACAGAATCTGGTTAGTGGTCGTGAGGTCTCTCTGGGACTCTACATGGGGAGCTCAAGGCTGGGGGATGGGCATGGATGCAGGAAGATTGGTCAGAACACGTTTGCTGAAGTCCAGGTGGGAGACGACTGTTGGAGATGTCGGAGGTGGGAAAATGTAGTCCGATGTGGGAGGTAAAGACTGGACTCTGTCGTCGAGTAATGCTCTTCTGTTTTTCAGGTTTTCAGGCTCAAATACAAGGCGAGGTGGTCTGGCTGGAACCCCAGCTCTTGCTGTGGGGAGGGCCCTGAACTCAGCGGTCATTTGTCCAGCGTCTTCTCCAGGGCTGCCTTGAATCAGGAAATTGTTCATGCTGATGAGCTTCCCTTAGGTTCACGTCTTGCTCCCTTTGGAAGCAGGCAGCTCCCTTGAGAACAGGACTAGTAACTTCCTTCTGCCTCTTCCTCACCTTCCTTGTAAGGTCTTCCCACAGCCCCTCTCGCGAGCGGTGCCTGCGACGCCTGCTCCGTTCACGGCTGCCCTCCAGTGCCTCAAAGGGCACGTACCATGCAGTTGGCACTTAAGATATACGTGTTGGATGAATGAACGCATAATTTAGTCTGGCCACGAATGGTTGACCAGATGGCCACAGGCTTTCCAAGTCAGCTTCTCCCTTCTACCATCTCCCATTTGGTGGTGTTGGCTTTCAAAGACCTCTGGCTTTGGGGTTTCCTTCAGAACCCCTCTTGCTGCTCCTCCGAGGGCTAAGGGGCAACCTGAGGAACCATTTCCTTGTGGGACTAGTATTTCCCAATATTCCTACATGTTGACTGAAGGGTCTTGAGCTTCCTTATGAAGCATCTCAGGGAGAGGGGCTGATCCACAGCGGAGACGGCTGGATGCAACTTTGAAACAAAATATTTAAACAACCAGTCCCATGATACTTAAAATGATGGTCTGAAATGTATTCTGTAACGGTCATTGATACAGTTCCCACATTACCAGCCTCCAGAGTTCACAAGAAGGAGCCACAGCTCTGAAATAACCGCCAGCGCTGACGTTTCCTGGGTGGCTCAGAACAGTTCTCACTTGGTTTGCTTGAGAAGCCACTTTCAAGGAGGAGACTTTTCCAATTTGCCATAAACCCTATGATGTTTCTTTTTAGAGGTTTCGGTTCCATAATAATTTGCAAATGAGAAGTTCTTTGACTTTGTGGGAAGTCCCCAAGAGGAGACCTGATTGCCTTTGGGGACGTGGAAACAAGAACAGAATTTCGGAGGGAATGCCAACCTCCTTGTCAAGAATCCTGCCATAGCATGTGTATCTTAGTTGCTGACCCTCATCTGCAATGTTCATGTACTGGAGATGGAATTATATTAACCCTTTACACTTTAGTTAGAATAAGAGGCACTCGTTCCAGCTGTCCACCATGGATCCACGGCAACCTCAAGAAACGAGGTTTTTGTCCCGACTTTGTTATGACCAATGAAGGAGGCTTGTGGTTGCTAAAGCCTGAAGACAGCTTTGGGGACAAGACACGCTCTGGACCAGGAAGGGCTCCCAAGGTCTTTGAGGACCTTTGAGAAATCTGAAGAGCCATCCAATGAAAGGCAGGGGCTGGTCCTTACCAGCGAGAACTCCTCAAGAGAGAGGGAGGGCGTGCTGAGGAAGCAGAGGCTTCCTCATTTGAGGAAGGCCCTACAGTTGAGGCTTGGCTCTCCCTCACACAACCATGTGACCTCAGCCCAGTTCGAGGCCCACAGCGGGACAGTCTGGATGCTGTTCCCAACCTCTCACTTCTCTGATGAGGACACCGTGCTGGTAAAAGAGGGCCCGACGGGCCCGCGGTGCACATTATCCTTTCCCAGCCCCCGTGCCCGCCCAGAGGGACCTTCCTCCTCACAAGCCATCCTTCCCATCCAGAGCCCTCTGTCGAGGACAGAGAGGTGGACGGAGGGTCTCCTACGTCAGTGGCGAACCTCTCTGTCTTATTTCGTCAGAAATAAGATGGAGGCGAAGAGCCAACCAAACATTGGTCTTTGCATTCGGCTCTTGGGACATCCTCCTGGATGTAGGATTTCCCTGGAAGTCTGTCTCCCCCAGTTGCTAGAATGCGAGAAGGACTGGGAAAAAAGTAGTATCTTCTCTGCTACACGAGAAGGGAAGAAAGGAAGAAAGGAACGGAAAAGAAGGGGAGACGGGGAGAATTACTTCCAGTGGAACTGAGTCGAGTTGAGTTCATTTAAGCCATGAAGTAGGGGAGGATTTTCCATGAGAGTCTTCTCTGGCTCTTGTTCAGTTTCAAGTAGTTATTGAGTGCCTGCTGCGTACTAGGTAGCGTGTCGCATCGGCAAGGTTACCAAGCATAGCAGGACTCGGCCTGCGTCGTCAAGGTGACCCCGGTGTCCTGCGGAGCGGGAGGGGCGAGGCGGCCCGTGCACCTGTGTTTGACGCCCCTCCCCCCCGCTCTACTTGCCCCTCCGTGACCCTGGCCCCGGCTCCACGAGTCACTTTTCCCTTCCCCGCTCTGCTGTCTGGCTGCGACCGCTGTACGTATATAAGTATGTTTTTATTCACCGAACATGTTGTACTATGTTTTTCTCATGTGCTCTTTAGGCAAGAGTGTGCAGGGAACCTCTCCGTCCACACGTTTGGGGTCTGGATTGGAAGGGATCTTTCCAGGGACACCTCTCACGCTTCCCAGAATAAGACTGAAAGCTCCGTTGGTCACATTTTGGGAGGCCCCATTTTAATCGTAAGCATTTGGCTTAGAAAACCACCTAGCGAAGTAGGTGCTTTTCAGGGACTCCGGGACCGAGCTTAGTGAGAACACAGGTACTTGAGATTTGGGGGCACCGTGGGGCCCAGCCTGCTTACTAAGTGAGTGAATGAGTGATATACGGTGACAGAAGCTGGCTACGGGCTCGGTTGATTGCAAAAGGTCTCGCTAGCTTCACCTGTCTCCAGGGGCATGAAATATTCTTGGTAAGTCTTATGTTCTGTTTAGGCAGATCCATCCCTTTGCTGTCAATAAGAACAGAACCAAAAAGGTCACGATTTTTCATTGTCAACAAGAAACAATGAGTGGGTGCGTGAGGGCCGCAGTCTGGGAGAAGAGGGGCCAGAATGTGGCTCTGACCCTCTCGCTTGGCTTCCCGGCCCCAGTGAGGCAGCCGGGTGCCCACCTTCCCAGGGGTAGAGCTTCTGAGTCTCAGTGTCTGTGTGGCCCCCAGCTAGGGCCAAGACAACACATGACCGAGATGGAAGAGGAAGCCTGGAGGTACATTCATCCAAGGAGCCCACCCACCGACCCCCCGTCTATTTCCTGATCCAGTTTCCTCGACACACGCCTGTAACTTGAACGGTCACGTTTCTTGTGCTCCGTGACGTGATTTAACAGTGGCGTTCTGGGAGGTCCACTCACCCGCGCCCCCAACCGTGTATTCTGTGGATGGGTTTCCTCTCCCTTTGACGGGGCGTGGTGCGTCGCGAGGGAGTTCGTTCTAATGGCGAACACATTCGCGCCCAGGAGCACAGAGCCTGTGTACAGCCCGTGTGCAGAACCGCAGGACCTTTCCAGATCGTACGCACCCCGAGAGGACACAACGGGCCCCGGGGGAAACAGTCAACGGTGTGCCATGTTCAGTTTGTGAGGAACGAGCAGGTCCGCCTCGCCATGAATCGGGAAAGAAAATGTCTGATTGGTGATAATTATATAAGGGACCCAGGAAGGAAGGACAGACTTTGGCATCTTGATGAAATGTTTAAAGGTCTTCTTTTCGCCCCCATAAAATTAGTCCCTCACCGTGGAGATCTAGTCATTATTTGAAAAAGCAGCCGGCAATTTGCCATCCATTTTCAAATTCTTTTAATGAGGTTATTGCAGAAAAAGATGAGTCAGAGAGAGCGTGCAAGAGAGCGAGAGACTTTTGAAAGCACATTAAAGGCAGTTGTTTGAGAAGCCGTGAGAGTCTCCGTCAAGAGTGATCTGGAAAAAATTGCCAAGAGAATTCATGTTGGCTCAGCAAATAAACTGCCCCTGAAGAAGCTGATTAATGTTTATTTACATCCACCCCGATGTTCGGGCTCTGCTGGCCACAGCAGGGCAACCGAGATAAGCGTGCAGGGCACCCCATTAAGGACCCACGTCTTCCCTACTTGTCACTTTATTACCCCTGGTTCATTTATTCGCTTTGAAATTATGATGGGGAATTGACGCCTCAAAGTGTGTGTCTTGTCACGACTGATTTCTCCTTGTTTGTGGAGAAATCAGGTGCATATTCACTGTTGCCCGGATCGAGGGCCCCAGGCTGAGCCCCAGTCCCGGGGGCCAGAGCCGTGCCAGCTGCCGTCTGCTCTCCCCGCCCCCACCCTCCACCTCTGGGAACCAGAGAAGACGCGGATCGCAAACCGTGGCTCTCTCCGGGGCCTCGGGGTTCCACAGCAACGTTGCATTGCCCAACGGGTACCAGATGCTGGCACCCAGGACGACCTACCATAATGGTGCCTGGCGACCACACGTGGGGACCCCTTGGCCCGGCCAGGGGGTCTTCTTCTCACTTCCTGCCTCCTGCACCTTCCTCGCTGCCCAGGGTGATGCTGGCCTCCTGGTGCCCATCTCCTGCCATTTTGGATCTTCCCAGTCAGGGTACCCACCCTCTGGGCCTGTGGCCACCAACCCCACCTCTTCCAAAGGCCTGTAGAAAATGCTTCGACATTTCCAATTTGGGAGAACCTGGTTCCTGAGCAACCACTATGGCAAAGGGAGGAGGTGACAATTGGCTTGGAATGACCAAGACAGCAGGTGGCCACCGCGTGCCCTCGGGTGGAGCCTGGCTGGTCCCCCAAGGTCTGGTCAAGAAACTCGCTGTTTTTGCCACTCAGTCTCCCAGGAGAATGCCATTTGCTCCCCCGGGACCTGGCGAGGACCCAAGGAAGAGCACTGGGTGCCCTGGATGGAAATGAGCGAAGGGAGACAAAACGGCTGATGCTCGAAGCCCCCGTTAGATTCTCGGAACCCGGTTTCTGCGGAGGGGAGACAACTTCACAGGGAAAACGACAGCGTCGCGGTCGGACCCCACCGACCCGGCGCACATCACAGCCCGGAGGGACCCAGAGGGATGTGTGGGCGGAGTTCCTGAGAGCCTCTGCCCCTGATCCCACGGGCGGGTTTCTTAAGCAGGCACTTCCCATACACAGCGCGATTCTGAGGGCTTTGCACATAGTAACTTTCTGAATCCCTGCAACGGCCTCCAAAGGCAGGCAGGGATGTCTGGCGATGTCTGGAGGCAGTTCTGCTTGTCGGCGGAGGTGGGTGCTCCCGGCCTCTGGTGGGGAGATTCCCCGCAGTGCCCAGGGCGGCCCCCATGACTCAGAATGGCCCCGACGAAGCCTGGAAGTCCCGAGGCTGAGAAGCCCTGAGGGAAGTGGAATCATCACGCCTGTTTTATAGGTGAGAAAACAGAACACACAGAGAGGGGCAGTGACTTGCTCCGGGGCACACAGCACCAGGCAAAGTGATGCCAGCTTTCACTCTGCCAGCCCCGACCCCCGCTTCTCCACACGGGCTGGAGACCAGCCCTGAGCGGCCGGTCCAGGGGCCCTCTTTCCAAGCCTGGAGGTACAGCACTAGGTGCTGAGACCCCTTGGTTCCCGCATCGAGCGGTTTGGGAAACCTATCAAAGGCAGGGGTCAGGGAAGACCCCAGCCTGCAAGATCGGCGATCCAGGAGCCTGTGACAAGCTCAGGGAAGGCGTTTTGCCTAAACCTCAGAATCCGGGATCATGAAAAGAGCAGCAGCTGCATTTTTATGTATTTTAGCATTTACTAATCCAAGAAGCCTGAATAGCAAACATCAGGACGGAACCAAGTTCTTCGCCCCCCTTGGCCTCCCAGACGGGACCTGGCCCAGCGACTCGGGACAGCCTGGCTGTTAGGACCATGCAGGGCTCTCCCGCAGGGGCAAGTGCACCCAGCAGCCCCATCCCCGGGCAAGAGCCACAAACCACAGGATCGCGTGCTGGTTACCCAGGAGGCCGCAGGTGCCGTGTGGACGGGGCCACTCTGTTTTCCCCTGATTCTGCTAAGCTGGACCGTGACACGGTCTGTTAACTACCCTGCGAAAAGCCTTCCCAACAGCTGGGCTGTTCTGTACATGTAATCTCGGCCCGGAAGGAGGCGAGCAAAGTGGCCTCGCTGGTAAACACGTGTGGGCCGCCGGCTGCTGCTGACATATCTGCCGGAGCCTGACCCCGCAGCCCCCCCAGAGCGCCCGGTTCTCGAAGCCCCTCTGAAGGATGGAACATTTCATTCCACCGTTAGAGCTCGGCACCGAAGCACCCTCACGGGGGCGAGTGCCGGGAGATCAGTGTTTGCAGCGTTTTCCTGACATTCTGGGGTACCTGAGGGCACCCTCCAGGAGAAAGGAAGAGATGGGCTCTCCCTGATTCAGGAAAGATGTGGGGCCACGGGCCCCTCCCCTCTGCCCTTTGCTGGCACCCACAGCCCTGAAACCAGCTCCCTCAGAACAAGGGAGGCTGAGGCTCCCCGTCTGTGCCTGAGAAAGGGCTCTGGCGCCACCTTGAGTCACTTTTCAGGAAGCAGCAGAACCATCCAGAAACTGCTAGTCCCTGTTTACAGGAGCTGTCGCCCAAAGCCTCACGCAGGGGTCTGTCTCTTGTTTTCTCCAGCCTTCTGGTGTCTCCTCCCCCAATTCCCAGGCGACCCTGCTGACCCCATCAGGTGGGAATGTGGTGGGGGGCTTGAGGGGGTGCTGTACGAGCCAGGCCGGCCACACTCCCTCCCTGCCCCCCGGGCCCCGGGGCCATGCTCTCCAGCAAGGAGGTGGCCCAGGCCGGGGTGGCCCTGGCTTGGGCCTCTCGGAGATCTTCAAATGTCACTTAGCAGCAATTAGGTAATTGGGGAAGAAAGATTTCCTGAAAATTAGTTCAAGGTTGGGGATAAGAGGGAAATTGCCAGGCAGAGACTTCTTGTTTACGAAAGCTGTCCTTTCTCGGCCCTGTTCTTCTTCCAGCTAATCAGTCACCCAGGGCTCCCTCCCACCCCCAAACTGCCGGCTGGGAAGGGTCAAAGCCCCTCCCCCGCCCCCACGCCCCTCAGGCCCTCGTCAGCCCCTCTCCAAAGGGCTCCGGGTAGCAGCCCCGAGGCGGGAAAGACAGAAGGGACCCAGGGCCGAAGGGAGGCCTCCACTGCCCGTCCTCCCTCAGCTCACAGCCCTGAGGGGCCTTGGCCCAGGCACCTGGGTCCTTCTAGAGGCTGGCGCGGCTGCCCCAAGGCCACTGCCTGCCCTGCCCCCACACTGGTGGGAAAAGTAGGCATTTTCGGGAGGCCCCTCTAGGGCAGCGTCAGGTCCTCACGTCTCTCGAAGCTTTCCTCCGGGGGAAGAGTCTGGTCTGCATCTTGAATAGAGCGAGGGGCCTCCAGCTGCTTGGGTTAGCAGAGGACGAAGGCTTCTCTTCTTTTACAGGAGGTATATTTAAACTTTTTTTAATATTGAAGAGTAATAGTGCTTCTCAGACAAGGTTGGTTCGGCCTTCGAGGGGCCACTTGGCAGCATCTGGGGGTCATTTTGGGGTGTAACATCTGGCGCTGGGGGTTGCTCTTGGCATCGAGTGGGCACAGGCCAGGACGCTGGGTAACACCGTACGATGCATAGGACAGCGTCCTACAGCAAAGAAGAATTTCACCCCCAAGGCCCATAGTGTCGAGGCCGAGATCCGACCTGACACAGAGCAAGCTGTACAAATCCTAAGTGCGTATGGCAATGACCTTCCACATACGGATGCGCTGTATTAGTATCCAATACGGCTGTAAAATTCACCACCAACGAGTGGTTTCAAACAACACACATTTCTTATCTGACTATTTGGGAGGCCAGAAGTTTTAGGAGAGAATCCCCTTCTTGCCTTTTCCTGCTCCCAGGGGCTCCCGCAGCCCTCGGCTCGCGGCCCCAGCTTCCGTCTTCACACCAGCAGCTCGGCCTCTGTCCACCTCCTTTCTGTCTCTGACCACCTTGCTTTTCCCTCTTACATCCTGCCTGCCTGCTGATGACCTTGAGCCCACCCCATAATCCAGGACGCTCTCCCCATTTCAGCACCTGCAACTTCATCACACCCACCAAGCCCCTTTGCCCTATAAGTCAGCGTGTTCACGGGTGTCAAGGATTAGGACGTAGACATCTTTCAGGGGCGTTATTCGGCCTGCCGCATATACTCGGATCGAACGAAGACCACTTCCATGATCTAGAAGGCTCCTGTGTCCCCTTTCCCTCCCAGCCCCCCTCCCAATTATTCTGTCTTCTCTCACCATAGAAATTTTTGCTCGTTCTCAGGGTCAACGATCGTTAAAGAAAATCCCTCTTTATTACAGGCTACGTATGAAATGTTAATACAATTATGAAGAAATCCCAACACCGGATCCCTCGAAAGCTTCAGGGAAATTCTTAGGCTGAACACTTGAACCCAGCTTAGAAAGCACCAGAACTTAATTAGGGTGAGCAGGGGCTATTTCACAGTCAGAGATGCACATTAATTATAGAAGAGTTGGGCAGGGAAGGGAGGAGAAGAGGGAGGGAGGGACGCAAGTACCAGTAATCACATATGTTCAGAGAGAAGAAAATCATGGTGGAATTTTTAAGCTGCTTCACATGGTTTCTCAAGCCTCCGGCACTCATACGGGCAGAGTCCTCTGGGGCGAGGGTGATGGGGCACAGGTGCCCCACCACTCTAGTATGGCGGGCGTATGGACGGCAAGTTGCAAACATTCACAAATTTTCTCGTTTATCCAACAATACTGGCATCAGGCTTGGGACCGAACTGCAAGGCTCGGAGGCCAGGGGCAGGGTTAGCGCTGGAGCGAAGGCCCAGTCATTGTCCGAGCTCTCCATCTTCGCAGACACAGTTCGCAACTGAGTAGCCGGTCTTCCGCCATGTGTAGGGCTAGAGTTCAGGTTCAAGGGGGAGCCACCCACCCCCACCCCCAGGCAACCCCTGATCTTTTTACTGTCTCCATAGTTTTGCATTTTCGAGAATGTCATGTGGTTGGCATCCTACCCATGTAGACTTTTCCGACTGGCTTCTTTCACTTTGCAATATGCTTTTTTTTTTTTTTTTAATATTTTTATTTATTTCTAGGAGAGAGAGAGAGAGAGAGAGACAGCGTGAGCAGGGGAGGGTCAGAGAGAGAGGGAGTCACAGACTGAAACAGGCTCCAGGCTCTGAGCTGGCAGTCAGCACAGAGCCCGACGCGGGGCTCGAACCCACAAACCACGAGATCATGACCTAAGCAAAAGTTGGACGCTTAACCGACTAAGCCACCCAGGCGCCCCTGCAATATGCTTTTAAGGGTCCCTCCTTGCCTTTCCATGCCTTGCTGGGTCTTTGAATTTTAAGGCAACGTATTAGTATGAAGGGCGTTAGGTGGAAGTGCTCCTGGGGGCTGGGGAGCAGGTAGTGAGCAGTCAGCAAGGTGTCTTAGTCCTTCCTCCCAGTGAGGCCATTATGGCCCAGCCGTCTTGAGCCCTGCTTGCTGGTTCCCTGCCTGACACGGCCAGTTGGCTGTCTGCCTCCATGAGCTCACCCTGAAACATACATATATTGTGTGCAGAGCCTTTGCAAATGTTTTTTTTCCTTATTAAAACAATAATAACTGCACTGCAAAACTATTAATCTGGCAGTAAATTCTTACAG